AGCCACAAATAATATAAAATACCTTGGGGGTAACTCTAACTAAGCAAGTGAAATACTTGTATGACAAGAATTTTAAGTCTTTGAAAAAAGAAATTGAGGAAGATATCAGAAAATCTCCCATGCTCATGATAGGTAGAATTAACACAGTAAAAATGACAATCTTACCAAAAGCAATCTACAGATTCAATGCAATCCCCATCAAAATCCCAACACAATTCTTCACAGACCTGAAAAAAAAAATATTCAACTTCACAAGGAAAAAAAAAAACCCAGAATAGCTAAAACATCCTGTACAATAAAGCAACTTCTGAAGGCATCACCATCCCTGACCTCAAGCTCTACTATAGCGCTATAGTAATATAAAACAGGCTGGTATTGGCATAAAAACTGACATATGGACCAATGGAATCAAATTGAAGATCCTGACATTAATCCACACACCTATGAACACCTGATTTTTTGAGAAAGAAGCCAGACTGTACAATGGAAAAAAGAAAGCATCTTCAACAAATGGTGCTGGCATAACTAGATGTCAACATGTAGAAGATTGCAAATAGGTCCATATCTATTGCCATGCACAAAATTCAAATCCAAGTGGATAAAAGACCTAAATATAAATCATGCTACACTGAACCTGAGAGAGGAGAAAACAGGAAGTAGCATAGAATGCATTGGCACAGGAGTCCACTTCCTAAATATAACACCAGTAGCACAGACACTGAAAGCAACAATTAATAAATGGGGCTCCCTGAAACTGAGAAGCTTCTGTAAGGCAAAGGATACAGTAATTAAGACAAAACAACAGCCTACAGAATGGGAAAAGATCTTCACCAACCCAACATCTGACAGAGGGCTGATCTTCAAAATATATAAAGAACTCAAGAAACTAGACAGCAAAATACCAAACAATCCAATTAAAAAAATGGGCTACAGAGTTAAACAGAGAATTCTCAACAGAAAAATCCCACACGGCCAAATGACATTTAAGGAATTGCTCCATATCCTTAGTCATCAGGGAAATGCAAATTAAAACAACTCTGAGATACCATCTTAAGCCTGTCAGAATGGCTAAGATAAAAAACACTGGTAATAGCTTATATTGGAGAGGATGCGGAACAAGGGAACACTCTTCCACTATGGTGGGAGTGAAAACTTGTACAGCCACTTTGGAAATCAGTATGGCAGTTTCTCAGAAAATTGGGAATCAATCTACCTCAAGACCCAATGATACCACTCTTGGGCATATACCCAAGGGGTGCTCAATCATACCACAAGGACACTTGTTCATAACAGCATTATTCATAATAGCCAGAACCTGAAAGCAATCAAACCTAGATGCTAATCAACTGAAGAATGGATAAAGAAAATGTGGTACATATACACAATGGAGTATTACTCAGCTGTAAAAAACAATGACATCATAAAATTTGTAGGCAAATGGATGGAACTTGAAAATATCCTGAGTGAGGTAACCCAGACTCAGAAGGACAAACATGTATGTACTCACTCATAAATGGATACTAGTTGTAAAGCAAAGGATAAGCAGACTACAACCCACAGCTCCAGAGAAGCTAGAAAACAAGGAGGACCCTAAGAGGGACATGAGTAAACTGGGGATGGAGGAGCAATAGAGGGAGGGGACAGCAGATGAGAATATGAGGGATGTATAGCTGGGTCTGTTTGATGGGCCACTGGCAGTATGATCAGGATCTATTCTCAATGCATGAGTCGGTTTTCTGGATCCCATTACCTATGATGGGACACTTTGCTCACCCTTGATGTAATGGGGGAGGGGCTTGGTCCTGCCTCAACTAAACCCTGCTCTCCTAGACCCATGCCATCAGGGCCAGCTCTCCCACACCTGTGGTGAGGGGTAGGGCCATCTCTCCTGATTGCAGGGGCTAGTTCTCCCATGGGGCTAAGACCAGCTCTCCTGTTGTCATGTCCAGTGAGGGGAAGGGCTAGCTATCCCACAGTTAGTGAGGGGCGCTCCAGCTCAGCACAGCCCTCAGATTTCAACATACATGGTTCCTATGATCCCCTTTGGTAACATGAGCCATGGACACCATCACAGTACCCAACTGCAGCAGGAACACAAACCCAGATATAGCCCTCAGCAGCAGCTCAGGCCAGGACTTTACCATGGCTCCTGTGGCAGTCTAGGCCACCCAGTTCAGTATGGCTCCAGCAGCAGTAAGGTCCTTGGATACCAACATGGTCTCAGATGCCTATCCAGACCCTAGGCATCTGTAAGGTCTTCAGTGGTAATAGGAGCCATGGGCTCAACTCAGACTCTGGCTGCTGCTGGGCCATTTACCCAGACATGGCCTTTGGCAGCATGGTCCCAGTGGCAGCACAGGCCTCAGATACCAGCATGGCCAAGGGCTGCAGCCTAGATCCTGGCATTGCCGTGGTCTTCGATGGTATCAGGTGTAGATGAAATTCTAAATGGTCTTATTAAATAAGAAACAGAGCCAAATAAAGAGTTAAAAGCTCAGAGATCAGAGCAGTAGCCAAGAGCTAAGACCGCCTTATCTTACCACTCGCTGCCATCCTTCTCCTCAGAGAGAGACCTTCTTCCTGTGTTCTGTCTGTTTATTGCCTTTCTGTTCTGCCTTCTCATTGGTTCTAAACCCAACCACATGACTTCCTCATCACTGCCTGTCTATACAGACCTCCAGGTCTCTATGGTTGGTACGGGGATTAAAGGCATGTGTCACCATGCTGGCTGTGTCCTTGACCACACAGAGACTTTGCCTGCCATGTGATCGGGATTAAAGGCATGTGCTACCACTACCAGACTTCTGCTTAATGGCTTGCTCTTAGCTCTGATCCCCAGGCAACTTTATTAATTAACATACAAATAAAATCACATTTCAGCACAAATAAAATATCACCATATTTCCCTCTTTTTTTTGTTGTTGTTGTTTTTTGAGACAGGGTTTCTCTGTGTAGCTTTGCACCTTTCCTGTAACTCACTCTGTAACCCAGGCTGGCCTCGAACACACAGAGATCCACCTGGCTCTGCCTCCCAGTGCTGGGATTAAAGGCGTGCACCACCACCGCCTGGCTGCCTGTCCTGGATCTCACTCTGTAGACCAGCTGCCTCTGCCTCCTTCAGCAAATCCTACCGGGGTAAGCCTTTAATCCCAGCACTGAGAAACCTTGTCTCAAAAAAAAAAAAACCAAACAAACAAACAAAAAGAATAATATGAGTAGAAGGAGGAAAATATTCCCAGCTCAAAGGGCCAGAAAATATTTTTAGCAAAATCATAAATGTAGAAGAGGCTTACAGACCCTCATGTCTGACCAGACCCTAGTCACTGCTGTGGCCTTGGTGGCATCATGAGTCATGATGTCAACACAGACCCCAGCTATGGTAGGACCACAGACCCAGACATGTTCCTAGGCATCCCAGGCCCAGAAGTTACCCTGGTCCCAGGTGGCAAACAGGCCACCAATATTAGCCATTCCTCATCACTCTCGATCCTTCAGATCTGCCTCTTATCACAGCACATGAACCATTCTGCCTCTCTTCCTCTCCCATTTCTCCACCATATACTTGCTCACCATAATGGAATGTACCCACCTGACAACCTAAGGCACTGGGTGGGCCTTTGGATGCCTTCAGGCAGCCCAGACCGTGAGCCAATGTCTAATTTTTAACATAAAGACATAGAGGATTAACTGAGGTAATGATGAACTTAACAATGAATACATAACACAATCCAAATAATATTAATAATGATCATATCAATAACAGTATGCATATAACATAGATGCAGTATAAATAGGTGTTTAAATGAGCTTATTGTAGTGCACACAATCGTTTCATGTCTTTGATGTCCACTTAAGATCTGATTTTTCAAAAGTATAAAAGGAAAACTCAGTATGTTTATATGGGTCCTCATAAACAATTAGGAAGATTTAGAGTTAAAAGCAAATTGAGGTGGAGAAACAGTAACAATTATGAGGATTTCTTTGTTTTAAATGGACTCTGCTCACTTAAACCTATCTGCTTTACCTGGATCAATCCTTTGGAAACAAAAGTAAAAATGCTTTGGTTTTTGTGTCTGAGTTAAAGCCAAAGCCCTTGAACTTTCCCTTCTGCTGTAAGGGGAAGACAAGGAAGGTGCTCAACTGCTTCTCTGTGCTGGGAAACTAAGCCTGGGACTCCTCTTCTGGGACACTGCAATTGCCCCCTCTTTACTATTGCTTACTCTAATTTCAAAATAAGCCCAAACCTTTTCTGGAATTGCACCAGGTCCCTGTGGCTACCCCTGTAGCTGGTTGCAATGAGTCAAGCTTTGAAATGAAGCTGCTGTGTTGAGATTTGCTTTTGCTGTGGAGGATATGGTTTTGGTGTACGATCGCCTTTCTTCCCACTACCCTTGGTTTTATAAACTGAATGCATATTTGACTCAAGGAGCCCAGTGATTGAGGGACGTAGGAACCTTCCCCGTGTTCTTTTGGGTCAGGCCAAAGAGTCTGCATAGGAATAGATCAGATCCTGTCATCACCTGACAGACTAGGTGCAGGTGGCAAGCGGAGCTGTCCAGTACTGGAACATAGACCGCTCGCTGTAGGAGGCATGTAGGTGGCTGGTACCACAGCGCTCAGGGCACACAAAGCAACAGGGCTGTAGCCTGACCAGACGCTATCCTCACTGCCCACGCGGCCTCGCTCGAGGCAGGAAACCATCTCCACGGGCTGCCCTAGCCTTCCCTTCCTTTGAAAGTGTCTCCACCGGAACAGTTGGGGTGACCGATTTGAACTTAAAAAACAAACTAGAACTGGACACGGTGTGTGTGTGTGTGTGTGTGTGTGTGTGTGTGTGTGTGTGTGTGTGTGTGTGTGTGTGTGTGTGTGTGTGTGTGCAGGGACCCTAGTGCCCCATGTCAGGCTTTCAGTTTTCTACAGAGGGAGATCTCTCCCCCAGATCTGTGCCCCGCATCCTAAGGTCAGCCCTTGGGCGTGTTCACTACCCATCTGCTTTCCCAGGGATCAAGGGACGCGGCATTTGGCTTGGGGACCTTTGGTCCTATGGGAACCACTATAGGAGCCCACTAGTAGCAAGACATGGTGGCAGGGGGGCGGGGAGAAACGGAGAGAACAGCAGCAAAGTGTCCTAGTTGCTCCTGAAACGTGGCGACCAGAGACTTCCAATGAGTATGCTGGCGACACGTGATGCCGGCGGAGGCAGAGCTGTAGGGCGGAGGGATAAAGGGAGCAGGAGGGAGGCGCGCCGTTAGTGCAGGGGGCGGAGGACGCGGGCCTTGGGCGGGCGGTGGAGACTCTAGGCGGAGGAGCCGCTGCACCCCAATCCCCGCAGCCCCGGAGCGGGAGCTACGCGTACAGGACGGTGCTGAGGCTGCGCCGGGAGAGCAGCAGCTGCGGAGGCGGTGGCGGTCGTCCCTGGGTCCCCAACGCATCCTCCGTGCTACCGCCGAACCTGGGCCCCCAAGGAGCTGCGGCGACTCAAGTTCCCGCCATGAACAGCTGGCTGGCAGGGCTCATCAGCCCCGGGGACTCCCGTCTGGGAGAGCGCGAGCGCAGCGCCCAGCGTCCCCGACGCGCCTGACGCTGCCATAGCAGGTCCCGCTACCTCCACCGCCACCGCTGCGTCCTCACCACCACCTCCACCACTGCCGCCTCGGCTGTAGCAGCATCTCCAGCAGCATGTCTCGCAGGAAGATCTCATCCGAGTCCTTTAGTTCCCTAGGCTCTGACTACCTGGAAACCAGCCCAGAGGAGGAAGGGGAGTGCCCCCTGTCCAAGCTTTGCTGGAATGGCAGTCGGAGCCCGCCAGGGCTACAGGGCTCCAGAGCGGCAGCCAAGACTACCACCCCGGCCCCCGCTGCCTCGGCCGCCGCCGTCGCCGCGGCCGCCAGCGCGGCCGCCGCCGGGTCCAAGAGGGTGCAGCGCCGCCGGAGGGTCAACCTGGACTCCCTAGGCGAGAGCATCAGCCTCCTGACAGCACCCTCGGTGAGCTGGGGACAGGCAAGTCCGAGCTTCAGCAGAGGACAGGGATGGGCAAAGTTGGAGCAGGGCTATGGGGAGCTCCGGGATCTCTCAGCCGCTTGGGGGCGACCCGGCCTTATCCTGGTTGGCCTAGGGTTCCTAGTGGCCCCCTGGGAGACAACCCTCTGGGCTTAGGCAGAAGGAGAACACTGGAAAGGAGTAAGACCTCATTCTTATGGAGGTCTGGCTGCCAAGCTCCAGCCTTGAATTCAACAACACTGCTGTCATTTCTGATGGCCTCAGGGCTCCTTCAGGCCACCTGTTTTGCTTTGCTTTGCTTTTTTTTTTTTTTTTCCTTTTTCTTCTAAACTTTCCCAGGCTGTGTTCTGGCAGATCCATTTCCCTTTTCCAGCATCCCAAAGGAGCCCCCGCCCCGCCCCTGGAAGCCCTTACTCTATTTCCCACACTCTCTTGGTCCTAGTAGTGACCTTCTGGGGCATCTCTGAATTCCACAGGCTCTTCACAGTCTCTGCTGCATGCCTTTCTCACATTTAAGAACCCTGTCAGATACTTTCCTGAGTTGTCTTTCCACATGCAAACCTGTAATCCTATTTACACACACACACACACACACACACACACACACACACACACACACACACACACAGAGGCTTCCTAATGTCTTATTTGTTGTGCATTTATTGGCTCAGTTTTCATTTCTGGGTAAACCTGGCTGGTTTTTTGTTGTTGTTTATTTGTTTTTTTTGTTTGTTTTTAAGTCTCTTGGTACTTCTTGTACCCTTATACCATCCTTCACTTTTCCATCCTTAGATTCTTCGTGCTTCCTGCCTTCCTCATATTAGAACCCTCACATATGTTTATTGAATGAATAAATGCCTTCATGTACTTCGGCAATTTGTGCTGATATTGGGGTATCTGCATTGGCGGTTCTCACTATACACCACTCCCCATGGTTCCAGGAATTCTTCCATACCACCCCTTTCTCATCCCTCCTCAGACATTCCAGCTACCCTATTTTGCAGAAATGCCAGACCTCTGGTTTTATCCTTTACTGACTAGGTGAGCTTGGCTTTGAAGGAGTCTGCTCAATTGCAGAATCCAAAGGAGATACATGTTAAATTTCCACCCACCTTTGAGCCTCACCTGGGTTTTGGAAGCAAGAACTTTACCTCTCTTTAAGCACCCCACCCCCTGTTTTTCCTTTTCCTGCCTCTATCCCCCAGATTTTAACTTTTTAAAGTTCCCTCGATGTAATCTTGTTTGGCTACTCCTAGGTTTTCCTTTTGAAAGCATTCTTGAACTAGTTTTAGGAAGGGCCTTTGAAAATGTGAGATGCTAAGAGTCTAGATGCTGGTACCAGGCAACACCACAAACATCACTGTGGTACCTATATTGGAGAATGGTTGTTTCTTTCAGCACTGAAACATGTTTTCTGTCTCCCACCTTTCTGGTGTGTTACCCTTTAGTGCATGGTTTCAGTGTCCTTCCTTTCTAGTATGTGTTGCTCTTTAACATGTTTCTGCAAACAATCTATAAGATACTTCAGAGGAGGTTGGCTGCTCTTTTTCACTCGTCCCTGTAAATTTTCCCAGAGAAGATAAATCTTGGGAAATATTTGACACTGCCAATTGTTGAGCACAATTGTTTATGAGGAGAATTCAGATCCTGTGTATCTGTAGGTTTGTGTTAGTGCCCAACACAACATTTTTGCAACATACTAATTCTTCAGTAAAACAGGTTTGGATTTAACACAAGGATGTAACTAAAGATACTGATCTGTTGTGATAGAATTATCCTTGTAACCCCAGATTTTTGTGTCTGGGAACCAAAATTTACTGATTTCTAAAAAGTATTAACAGTGTCTTTGATAATGACAGTTTAGCTTAGATTGTTCTCAGCCACTCACTTGAGGGTAAGAGAAAATAAAGTGATAACTGAAGTATCTACTATGAGAATGAGAAGCAGGAAATAATTTCTGATAGTTTACTTTGTAAGTTGGAGTTTAGTGGCAGATGTCAAAGTGTGCCCAGATAATGGTTATCAGAATAAGAAATTGAAAATAATTGTTATATCAAATGTTGCAGAAGTTCTATGTATTTTACAAGCTGCAACTAACTTATTTTGGAAAATGCCTGTCAGGTATGTGCTGAGAGCCTATAGGTGAGCAGGAGTAAACATGTGTACCCATAAAAGACTTCAGAGAAAAAAGAAGAATTCTCAGTGACTAGTAGTCTTATCACCCGTTGACTTGGTGTCATAGACAAAACAGAGAGGTTCCATTTCAAGTCAGTGAGTGCTGTGTGGTCCGTCTTTTCATTTGGCAAACAAGACATTGCCTTAAAAAGTTTCACTATATTCATCCTTCTATACTACCTGGATGTTAAACTCTGGAAGTAGTCGAGGAGATGTGAAGCATGCTATCTGTTTACTCACTACTAAAAATAACTACAGCTGCCTAGAATACCCACTGTTGAGGGGCATTTGAAGTTTTTTTTTAGTGTTGTGAACTTTCCTGAACCCCATTTATTTTAGGAAGAATTGCACTTGCTGTTCATGTTCCTGCTTTCATATGTTTCAATCAGTTGGGATTCAGTCTTCATTCAGAATGACTTGCAAGTTGAAAAATGGAAATGAATGTATACTAATGTGTTGGTGCATAATACACCAGTTTTTGACTCAGAATAGTCAAAGTTGAGTTTTTGACATTTTAGTAGTTATTTCTAGGTGTATTGATGTTGGCTATAAAAATCACAATGTTGCACATATAATACGATAATATTGCACATATAATACATAATATTACACAAATAATACAATATAAGTAAAGAGTTGATAAAATTGAAAGAAAACAAAACAGAATTTAAGAGTCTTGATTCTTCTTTGCTTTGAACAAGTAATTACTTGTGTAACTCTGGGCACATTTTCAGCTTTCTAGGACCCTGCTCATCTGTAAAGTGTTATGCTTAAGTTCCTCTTTAGTCAGAAATTCTACTGAAACACATCATCAGGCATACAGGGGAAACATTTTGCATTTGAAAACTTTTGAGAAAGGTATATTACTTTTCAAAGTATGTAATAATCAAATCATTATTCTATTTAACCAGTAATTGAGGTTCTATTGTGTGGCAAGTATTGTACTGGCAATACAGATGCTGAACAACCCCCAGTTTTCATGGACTTCTTTCTTTTAGTCTTTAATTTTAGGAATGTGTATTGAGGAGAACATAGGAACTGCGATTGCCCTGCTGACATCGAGGAAAATTTTGGGTGTGTTTTTTTTTTCCACTATGAGTCTCTGGAGTGTAGCCATAATAACAAACATCATTATACAAGCCTCATTGGAGGCATATCAACCACTTATTATTTATTTTTAAGTAATTGGATACTTGGAAAACATATTGAGAAGCTAGGAGGGGTCTTTGCACCAAGGGTCAACCTAGTAACTCATTTTATTAGATTTTACTTTATGACTCTGATATCAGTTTGGAGTTTGTTCTCATCACCCTGTCAGTGGAGAGATGCCAGCAGACCCACTCAAAATTGAGGCTTCTTTTGAGAGTTCTCTTCACTGTTGAATCACTGCAGGTGGCTTTGAACATCTCAGATAGTAGAATGCTGGAAGAAACATAACACAAATGGAAAGATAACAAAGCAGGAGAGGAAAGCTTATGGCAAAAGGAAATTCATCCCAAGAAAGTGTGAAATGAAAACTCAAGGACCCTGGCATGGCAAAAACAAACAATGTTTTCCTATTTGAAGAAAGGAAATTGTAGTAGTAAAAGTCTAAGGAAAAGCAAAGGGAGACAGACAGGTATGTTTAGCTTTTTCTGATAGTACACAAAATTAGTTCTCTGATACACACAAACTCTTAAAACCAGTGTCATAAACTCTGAGTGTAATTAATAATGTAAGTAATGAAATATACACAAAAGTTGTTGGTGAAATAAGTTTATGTAAATATAGGGCTCAATTTGACTAAAAAGCAAAAGCAAAACAAATTGACTAGTCATAAAATTATTAAAAAGTATTCATAATTAAATGTTTTATTAGACAAATTTGTTAGCATGGTTGTATACACACACACACACACACACACACACACACACACACACATTGCATATATGTACATTTTTATAAACTTTCCTCAACTCTGGAAGTTTCCAGAGTGTGATCCATAAATTTCAACAAAATTTGAATGCTTTGAAAAAAATGTAAAAGCGTTCTTGCCTATTTTATCAAGATCACTTCTAAACATATTCTAAGATTTATAGAATGATTTTAGTACAAATAAGATAACAAGATAAGAAACATCAGCAGGGCGTGATACCACATGCCTTTAATTCCAGTACTTGGAAAGCAGAAGCAGGCAGATCTCTGTACATTACAGGCCAGCCTGGTCTACAAATCAAGTTCCAGGACAGCTAGTGCTGCCACACAGAGAAACCCCGTGTCAGGAGAAAAAAAAAAGGAACTTTATTTTGTTTGTATAGCCAACAAATTCATCTGAAAAAATTAAAACTGAGTCTCCTTTGATTATCCTAGCTATGGATAGTAAGTGTACACAGGCCTTTATAATCATTGCAGTTCCAACATTTCTACTAAACTAGTTACTGCTGTGTGGCAATTCAGAAAATACCTTTAAGAATCATGTAATGATATGAAGACAATTTTGAGTGATACAATGTAAATAATTCACAACAAATGAATTATAATTATAAGTAAAAGTGAGAGAGAAACTACTTATTTCATTTTGTCTGAGAATTTTAAAAATTCCTCACCTATTGCCTTCAAACTAATCAGTTTATGTGTTCAAAGGGTGAGGCTTGGAGATAATGTAATAAATATCAGCTTAAAGCCTGTGTATCTTGGCTGCGTTTCTAGTGTTCTGTTCAGTAGCTAAAGCTCAGTTGCAAGGCTTTTACTTTTAAAATACATTTGAACAATGAGAATGACACCAGTGATTCTTAGTTGGTGAAGAGATGATGGGATTATACATTCACTTT